ATAATTCCTGAAAATTACAAAAAGTCACAACGTCTACTCAACAAGATTTACATATCTATCAGAGAACTCGACAAGAATAATAAAATTTTTTAGTAACTCCGTACCAATTCCGGGAAATGATCATATCATCATTCCGTAGAAGTTCATCTTAGAGTACAATCTCAGAGCATTTAGCATATGAATCTTTTCTATTATAACCGGTGGCACGGATGATTTATTTATCAAAGCTCTGAAAAATATGTTTTTATCGACGTCAACAGCGCCTCTACCGAGCGCGTCATTTTTTCTCTAACTCAGGTTATTTGAGGATCGGCGACCCCAAATTGCAGTAACAATATAATTGAAGAACACACATTCCCTCATTTTTCGCAATCTTGCAGGCATCAATCACTCCAAAAATGTCTCTCATTCACTCTGCTCATTTGTTGTGAAAAACGAAAAGCATCCAAAGCAATTCTCCGAATGATAAATAATCTCCTGAGATTTTCGAAAATTTACAAGATCCACTCATCGCGATTCATGTGTTTAGCAAAGACCTCGACATGGCTAATAAATTTTCCTCCTAACTTCACATGTTACGGCGCGAGGATATTTCCTGCGTCTCGCCGTGCAAAATATTTCATCGTGAATACGTGCGCGGCATGAGTTGAGAAGTTTTTTGGATGCAAGAGGATGGTGAGACTAGAGCGAGTGAGCAGTGTGACACGGATAGAGACTGTTGGAAGAAAAGACGAGAGCCAAAAGACTGTCATATTTTTCAAACTCTGCTTCCTCCGGCTTTTGTCTATGTGACCAGTGTGTTTTCTTGGGAGAAATATGCTGTCCGCGGAAAACTTTGCGATGCACATTTTGAATTTGCCCTAACGGATGTCATTTTTCAGGAAAATAATAATCGTAAAATTTGGCTAATCTCGATGTCAACGGGTGATTTAAAAGTGTACCGAGAATTTGCCCGAATACTTTTGGCAAACTCAATTAACAATAAATTCGATCTGTCCTAATGGAAGTGGGATGCAACCTTTTCTCGTCTTGGAATAACGCCATCTATTTATAATTCAAAAAATGGCCTCATAAAACAGCGAATCCACTCAAACCTGAAAAACTCCATTTGCTCTCGCGAGGATATCAATTTGAATGAAATTTATTTCTATTTTTGCCAGTTTTTGCATAGCAACTATCTCCATCTTGAAAAGCTAGTCCGAAACCATACGGTAGGCTCTAGCTCGCAAATATGATGCCCTAAATTCATTTTTGATTCTATTGACCATATTTATGAATACAATTGAATATTTATACAATTAATACAATTTCCTCATTACATCATCTTCCATTTTCTCCAGAGAATACCTCATCTACAATAATATAAATCCATCCACAATCCGAATCCATACACAATAAAAATGCGATAAATTAACCTCGCTTTGCTGAAAATAATTCAATGTCTTCAAAAGAACGCGCAGGATCCGAGGCCTAGCGACGCGAACCGAAGACGCCCGAGTTGACTCGAGAGTTCACGACAGTGAAAACGTGCAATAGAGACAATTCACGATGACATGTCGTGTCTCGAATGTCTGGCAATCTATGAAATTGAATGTTGCTTTATGATTGTGTCGAGAATTCATACTCAATTCGGAATGCATAAAAAATGAACAGTTATTTTTGATCCGGCCAAATGCATGCCCAAGATCGCTTGCAAAAGGCCATGTCAAATCAACCAAAGCTAATACTTAATCTCTGTCCCGTCGACTGTCACTACTATATACGTCGGATTCTATCGTTTAACGGATAACGCTAATTCCAGTGCTGCATTCAGTAGCAAAAGAAGAGTCAAGCATACATATACACACCTTCGTAGCTTCTGCGCACGGGCTTTAACATCCCCGGATGCCCCTCACTCGTATCCAGTACATTCACGACCGGTTTTCTGATGTCTCATCGCATCTCACGCAAACACCTTTTCATACTTCATTCAAACCCCCTCGGAATTCTCGTTCCATTAAAGCACTCTCTTACGACGTGAATTTCAATTGAAAAAAGTCCATTCCCCAGACATTTGGCGGATGAAAAATTGATGGATATTAGTCATGAATCAGGATAATTGATCAATATCAATTTCTTGGGGGAATGAGGAAGTTAATGAGGCAAATGAAGAATTCATTTTAGGTGTATTTAATATTTATTCATGAATTTCATTTCTCAATGGTCGAATGGAAAAACGATTAATTATAAGGTGTAATGGATAGATCTCTTTTTCGATTTAATGGGGAATGATTTATGTTTCAGTGATAAATATTTTGTTTATTGCGGTCATTCGTTATGAGGTGGAATTGAGATGCCGATGGTTTTGTAATTATTGGAGAGATATTTTTTTGAAATTCTCGGAAGTCTTGAGTTGTTTCTAATCGCTCAGTTTATTAACAGTCGTTAATTATCAAAATAGGTCGATTTACAGGTGTTGGCGATAAAGTAGTCAATGCCATTCCTTATAAATTATTAATTGGAATCTTTATGACTCTCGAAAACATCATTTTCATCTCTCAATTAAATTCAATCTTTTTTTGGACTAGTCGAGAGATCTGCTACTCAGAACTCACTAGTTTTCCCGAGAATTTTCACAAAAAAATTTATTTCCATCGATTCTCAAAAAAAATATATTTTCATCGATTTTTGAATAAAAATTAATTTTTATCTCCCAATTGAATTCAATATTTAAAAAAAAAAGAAAAAAAGTGAGCGTTCCAGATTTTTTGAAATTGATTGAAACCGAATGCCACTTGAGGTATTTTGCCATTATGATTTCCACCCTCGACCACAGTTCTTGCCAAAATGAAATACCCCAGGATATTTATGAATAATGAATTTGCTCATCAACTTTCGGGTCATTGTCTCGTCGTCTCGTTCCTCCTCACACATCAACACCGTTATACATGTTGGGACACCGAGAGCTCGCGCGAACTCAACTTATTCACGTAAACGCTCCTGGGGTAAATTGCTACGTAACAAGGTTCGTTACTTGCCGACCGCTGTGCATTGAAATACCGGCATTTGGGGCCATTAAAGTGGCGTCGATTATGCGATGAACGAGAACAGCGGAGGGGGTACCCACGAGGAAGGGGTGGACCGGGTAATTGCGATACGACGGTAATTGAGCGGTGTCGCTACGCGATATACATTCAGGATGGGGTGAAGTTGGAGGTGGAGAGAATCCGCCTGGTACTAAATATTATCCATGTAAAACGTGGACATTAGGTTGTACCAAGGGGTAGAATGGAACACGGAAGTCTATTTTCCCGTACTGCTGCTACGTTCAGGCAGTACTGCCACATAGCGGGTTTTTTAAAAACATCTTTTTGATTTCATACACTATCTCGATCAATTAAATAATGACACTGTTGATATTAAATTGGTATGTTGTTGCCCTGTCTTTTAAACATTAAAAATAATTTACTTGTTGGTTACTAAATCGATCATAATCAATCTAACATCCGAAAAATTATAGATTTCATATTTTGAAAATTGAATAGGAGATTAAAAATGGAAACTGATTCCTTATTCCCTCAATTGTCGGTGAGAAATAATTTGCATTGATAAATAATGACTTCAGTACATATTTTCATCTACGAGCATGACTACCTGTCCTATTTATATTGATTCGTTTGATGTCGTTTTTGCATAATTGCGGTAAACTGCAATTTTTTTTTCCCCGCATAATATCACTGGCAGTGACGCCCAATAAATCAGATAAAGTTGCAAGTTTTATGTACGTGAAACCCAGTCATCCTTTCTATATTCCAGGCTTTATCATCAACAATAAAGAGTGTCCCATAATTCATAGTCCATCGGTATGGGTATCTGTATCTACTTAACGAGCGGCTCGACAGGCCTAATCGACCGCTAATCGGGGCCCCGGCGTTTACGAGCAGCTCGCCCAGTGCTCCTTGACAGGTATATCAGCCGTAATTCTTCAAGATAACGGTGACGAAAAAGGAGGGGGGAAATTGTAGTGCCTCGCATAGAGACATAAAAAATTCTAATCAATAATTACCACCGGCATGGACTGAATGTGGGTCTACGATTTCCAATAAGTGATTTCTCCAGTGGAGAGTACATTGTTTCACATTATAAAATTGCATTTTTTTTTTCAAATTGAGTTAATGATCACCGGATTTTCATATCTAAAATAAAAACAATATTAAACATATTCAATTCCATTATAAAAAATATGAAAGTATAAAATGTCTAATTACGCTCAGTGTAATTCTATGAAGATAAGAAAATATTGTATTGTAAAAGATGGCAATTTTTTTTTGTGTAGAAAATTTATAAAAAGTTCCCCCCTCCGCCCCCTCCTCTCTTTCACCACTGGAGTATAATTTCTTCTCATAATTTAACGGCAGACATTTTTCGTAAAAAAAAAACATTTTTATTGACTCGAGTTTAAATGAATATAAATTCATTGATAAAGTATTTTATTGACAAATCGTCGTTTCATTAAATTCTATGCCTCATTCAGAAAATTGAGAAAATATATTGGCATTTTTTTCCTGTTCGCGATCGCTTCAAAATTTATTGGAAAATATCAACACAGTGTGAATAGCTAATTATGTTATTCAAAAACATAAAACAAATGGTGAAAACATCGTACTTCATTGAATAAATTGAATTCCAAACAGGATGTTTTCCCATCCAATCGGAGAATTTACAAACTTTGCTGTTGATATCTCGCCAAACGTCCATCAATTCACCTCATATTTGCTTTGAAAACACTCGTGCAATGAATTGTCCTGAAAAATATCTACCATTGCATTTAGTACCTGAAAAATAATTTCAGTATCTAAATTTTCAATTCATTCTTTCCAAAATTACCAGCACTCGCAATTTTTTAAACATCATTAAAACATGCACTTAAACCATTTTCACCTTCGAATAGATTCTCCAGATATTACTACAAAAATGCTGAACCATACTAAAATTCTCAAAAATATACAAATAAAATTACAAAAAGAAAATAATAAAAATTATAAATAAATAAATAATTGACGAAATGAAGGCGCTATAAAAAAAAGAGTGGATTTTTTCAGAGGCATGCAAATTCAACAAAATAAATTGATAAATTCTTATTATATAGATTTCGATATTAATTTCGCGGACAATCATGGCGGAGTGATTTTCGCTCGATCGAAATCCTCGAGGAATCGACACAATTCTCCAGCAGATGCTTCAGGATTTCCAATAGAATTTTTCCACACGCTTTCCCCGACTAACTCCTGAGGTTAATCGCGTCATCCTTTTTAAATCCACGGGACGTTCTAGTCTCCCTCTCCCCCACATCTCATTGAAAATAATTCACATGTTGGATAATCCTCTGCTGCATCAACGATGTGCAACTTAAGCGGATCAAAGGCAGCTATCCCGCCATCACGAAGACACGTTCAAAATATCCACGATCCCCTTGCCACCAGGAGCTTTCATCTATCCCTTGATTTAATCAGCAGTTAAAAGAATTTATTGACCTCCACACTCGGCACATCCTCCCCGAGACATCAAAACGCTGAAATAGAAAATATTCGTTTCATTGGCATGACGACAAAAATCCCTCGAACGAAGACCAGAAGCACTTTGTCCCTCCTCTTTGTCCCCCCTCCCTCCATTTTATTTTTCTCATTTCACCGGTTGAATATATATTTCGTACACGATCATTTCAACTGTCGCCCGGAGGCCCCGAGTCATTCCTGTAACGTCTTGAAAATATCGTACCTTGTCACTTTATTGCCACAAATTTGCATATGATTATACCGTCCTCAAACGTATAATCGTCCAACTTTTTACCATCAACTGAAGGCGCAGGATACCTCGCAACAGCTATTCCCCCCGTCATTCCATGTGTGGGAACTAATGGACATCGTTCACATTGATCAAGACGGCAGATACGATACCAAAATGAGGCTATTTCGTTCTCCATAAAATGCCCATGGAATGAAGAAGCTTGTAAATAACCGTTGAAAATTTCACGACGAGAAATGAAATTAGTTTTCCCCCACCTACACCAGTATTTTATTAGTCACTTAATACAATTTAATGAGTGTCTCTGACCGGCATTAACTGATATCTTGATAAAGCGGTGATTTTTAACAATTTGGCGGAACGAGTGAAAATTACAAGCTACTTTGGGCATTGGGATACACGGATGAATGGGAGTGAAAAATAATATTGATGAGAAATGAAAAAGAATGAAAAAATAGGGAGATGTAACATATTGGCCGCTGGAGGTACTGGAAGCGCTTACACACCAGAGTCTTATCGACTTGGGGCAGACGGGTGGGTTGCAGCCAGGAAGACCGTAGCCTAGCGTTCTCCCGCTGTATGGCAGGCAGATTTACGAGGACCGCTCGGATAGCGAATGATAAACGCCCGACGAGATAGCTTTATTTATTCGCACGATGCTACGCTCTCACATGCACGCTACAGACATACTCCGGGTACTCCCTGCCACCTCTCCACAGCGAACTCTGGTGCATCCTGACGGCAGTCTCTCACTTTCCATGATCCGACGGCTGTCACAATCACCCCAGGATTGGTTGAGGATGTTAACCCTGGTCACCTAATGCCAACCGGCGACTTCGGTCACCTCCGCCCGGAAACACCGGCGCGTTATTTACACTCAACGTTGCCGAATTCACTCTACACTCCTCGGACACGCGCTCACCAGGACTCCGGCAACGCCGCGTGAAATTCTTGCACACATGTACACGGAATTTATTTAATTGATATTTACTCAATTTTCCGAAAATTGATCGGTCGCTCTTCTGACATCACTTTTTCCAACACGAATTTCAAAATGAAAGAACCACCGAAGATATCCTGAGAGTAATAATAATCCCCATAAGAACCCCAAAATGCCAGCTACCAAGTTCATTGATTCCAAAGCAGAAATTACGATAATAGGCAGTTCAGCTTTTAAAGAACAATCAGAGTCTCCATTGTTGATGCTTCCCGCTATAATCCCAGTACTTCGGCATAACGATGATTATAATAAAACGAGAGATCGTTTCGGAGAATTTCTTTCACAGCGGTAGCAATAAAGAAATAATTACAAGGCATGCGCTGCGCTCATTATTTCTCTCATATTTCACCTCAACCCGACGTCACAACTTCCGGACTCAAAATGAACCGATCATTAGCGATGAAAAAATACGAAGCGATAGAAATCCACCCCCGAAGAGGAATTCGTGAATAACAAAATTGCGATAGTGATCAGTAGCGCCAGAACGAACCATCAGCGCCACCTAATAACACACCTAACCTCCATGTCCCAATATCTAATTACCCTAATTACCAATGATACCATAAGTAATAACCACCTGTCACACCTCCACGAGCACTACACCGTATATTCCACGAATTTCATAAATTCAAAAACTTATTTGTACGTCAAAAGCAGCTCCACCTAATCATTACCATGTTTTTCACGTTTCACGAGTTGCCGTGCCATAATCTTAACTCCATTAGATGGTTGTCTACCGCAAAATCACCGAGCGTGTGTTCGAAACCTACGGTAGGAAAATAAATTCATGAGGCAGTTTGAGAAAAAGATATTTATGCAAGACAAGCGGTGAAAATAAGAGAGACAGACATACCTTCACACAAGTGGGCGTCCCAAGTGAATCTCCCTTCATACATACAATTTTGTATAATTTCGCCTCATGAGTACAAATTAATTCTTCCCTCTCCAACCCACCGAAGCAGCGCGGGATGAGATTGGTCCATAAGATGCTGCTAGAGATACAGCTACTTTGCCTTCCACAACTCCCTAGGCCATCGCTCGATTTCTCTTCTGGTCCAATAGTCTGAAATTATCGCTGCACGGGTGCGAGTTGCGTCGTTAAACCCACGCTAATCCCTCGGCTATCTGTTGCTTCGGGAAAGCCTCTCCTCGATGTAGTTTGGTATCGTACAATGTACATGGGTCAGTTGATAGAAAGTTTTGCCTCACGCAGGGCTTGGGTAATTGTTCCGTGGTGGCTAATAATTAACCATCGTTAAAGCCGATTAGATACCGAGAAATAAACGAGCAAGTGCACTTGCACTGGGGACTTGTCAGTCGATTGTTAATGTTGATTATGATACGTATTTTTTTGAGGAATGCCGGTTTTAGCCGCGACCCGTGAATTGCGCCATTTTAAAGTCAAGTGCTCAGGAATAAATTGATAAACGAACTTGAATATTGACATGATTATTACGGTTATTCTTGGTAAATATAGCCTTATTATAGACAGCGAGCTCTTCGTGGGTGAATAAAAATAAAAAAGAAAATTTCCAATGAAAATTGCATCACATTTTCATTAAATTTTCTTGAACACGCTTAACTGATATTTTCGCGTAAAATCGCGGCATTATGTATTGCCAATTATTATCCAATTATCAAGAATATTCAACAGCCCGGAGATGCAAGTTCAACTAATGGATTAATTTTCTCCACAGCTTCCCGCTTTTGAATGTTTTATAAAAATTTCCGAAAAATCGGTGAAATTTTATAAGTCTTTAGTAATATTCCCACGTAATCTTCACTGTTCTCAAGATTTATCGATAACACGTTAGTTTTTTGGTGTAAAATGGAGACTGGCGTCGGCGATACTCAGAAGGGACTGTCTGAAAATGTCTGTAACGTAAGTGGATATCCAAAACGCAAAAGACTCCGTTGAATTTACAGAGCAATTTACTAAAAATTGTCCCAAGTGTGTGCACAAAAAAAAAGATATAATAATCAATCACAATATATTCTTCATATATATTATTCATTTTATTTATAAAATAAAATTTTCCCCTGGAATTTGGTATTATTGTATGTCACATCAATCACCACATCATTTGTTCGTTTTATATCAATTTTTATTAAATCGAGAATTTTTCTGTCATTAATTGAAACAATTGATAATTGATAATAAACAATTGTTTCATGGAAATTGATTCATACGAGTACTGTTTTAATATCGGGGGTTATTTGAAAATCGATATGCATCTGGTGAGGAAAAATGAGATTATAAAGTTAATTACGTACAACCATCGATTTCGATTAATATCAATTTCTGCCAAGATCGCAGATGCCTAAGCCTGTATGATACCAAATTGGTGTGAGTTTTGGTGCCAGACATCCCGCGGGGCGCCTGACAGCCCGGGGATGAAACGACGGCGACGAGGCGGCGAGGTCGACGCTAAGTGCCGGATTACGTCACCTAGCAAGACGACCCTGTCGCCTTGACGAAGTGTGCCTCGGGGGTTTTGCCGTTGGACACCCCGTGGTGTTTTGGTGTGACAGAAAAAAAAAAAGAGCGACGAAAAAAAAAATCCGAGTAATGGAGATGAGAAAAAGAAAACGGCACTGCGTTTTTTTTTCTTCGTTTCAAGATCTGAACAAAAGTAGCGGAAAGAGAACGAGGGGGTAAAAAATATGCACGCCTCGCAGAGTTTTTACGACAATCGGTGGAGAATCTTCTCCCACCCGTGGAATTTGAGAGATGGAGGAGGGAAGATGGTTGGTCCACGGAGAGAGATGAGACACGGTAAAAATAGATTTTTAGATAATCTGAAGTAGTGAGAATGCAGCAGTGCATTTGTGCTCATAAAACTTGAGGCTTTGGTGGTGCCAACCATTGGGGAGCATAAATTGGTTACCCTGGGTGAGGATTTCTATCCCGTGTTATGTCGGTGGAGATGAAAAGGACGGATCGCTGAACTTGGTGTATACGTTTTTCAGGATGTGTGTACTTTGCCACTGGATTGTACGGTTGAAAGTGGAGATTCACGAGTGTTTGGAGAGGGAGAACGACATTTCCGTGTGGGTTATATATTCTGTTCTTCAGACAGAGACACTTGCTACGAATACATTGTTCCAGTCGTTAATGTCGGGTGGATATACCCAGTGTGGGTTGACAATGAGAAAGGGGGTGCTGGTGGTTTTAACACCCATATAGCTCACAGCGATTCTACCGTGCAGGCGATTGCAGCTATTTTACAAGTAATGTTTTACGCTGGAAGCTCGAGGTGGAACATCGGTGTGGCCAAACAGCTGCGGTGTTTGAATATTTTCCAGAGAAAACCTCATAAAATTTTGAGAAAACAAACAGTGTTTGAGAGTGTTTTTGGAATCGCTCGGGTCAAATAAACTTTTACTGCTCTTTTTCTTTTGAAGTTCGCTATTTCGTGAATTCAGGACGAGCTTTCAATGGATTCAACTGGCTGCACTACATCTTACTCCGACGGTTTCAGGACAGATTATGGGAAGAAGTCGATCGACGTAATTCCATAATTCAACTTCACCAATTAATTCGGCTATTCTCAATGGATATTAAAAGACAAAGTTATTGATACACCCACATCCATGGAGAAGTTCGTAATATTTCATGAAAGTTAAAAATTTGTCAGAAAAATCTCTTAAAAATGAAGAATGGACGAATCCCAAGGGTGTCCGTGTTACATCAGATGTCTATATTACCTGAGCATCCTCTATATTTTTTTCCACGTGTGTGGATAGGATCTATATTCTCCGTTGAAGAGTGAATCTTTATGACCCAGCGGTGGGCGAGAGGAGCGACGAATGGCAGCCGTGACAGAGGTATCTGACACGTGCCTTTTCTTATTCATGGGCATCCCCGAAGGTTCGCCATAATGGCATGTTTCAAAGATTTTACGATTATCCTTGGATATCCAAACTCCTCGTTGTATATCCCATGAACCACCAGTACATCATCGCCACCGTTGCCTCGGCATGATCCGAAGAAGGAAAACATCATAAACAACGATATGGTTTACGATTCACGTACGAGTGAAGAATCGAATGATGCCAGATAGACTGATAGAGTAGATCAATAAATTTCAGATTTTACATATGAAGGGCAATCAGAGTCTGGAATGGCGATTGTCCCTGAGGTGGTCGGTGAGGCATGTCGGATAGCGCTAAGAATTTATTGGCTCCCACATATTTTTCCTTTGAAATGTCAAAACCGCTGAAAGGAAAACTTTATTGCGTGGCTCTATACTTGTCACATTACTTACATTTCCTTTCTCGGTTATGACGCCGTTGATACTCGAGGATGAAAGGGAAATCATGGTCAGGAATTATGGATTGCGTCCCTGGTTAGCGTCAAGGGGTCCAGGCGGTGTTACCAGAAAACCGGTCTGTTGGGAGCGATACGTTATTAAGTTAAGTGGCCATCACAAATTTGACCCTAATTGCAGAGAGTGATGAATGACGTACGAGCCGCTCCTCTCTCGTGTTTTGTATTTTGAATCATCACAGACCTCCTGTCAGTTTCATCTGTCAATACATTCCACTCGGTATTTCCTCTTGCTTCAGAAATTCTTGACACCCGCTCGGGTTTCATCACCACCATAACCGTATCACTCCTTCGCCATTAAGAAATATTAGTTTGCCCAATTACGCAATACCATTCGCGAATCATTAATGAATCACGTTTGATGTAACTAAATGATTTAATCATTTTCGAAAGGAAGTATCGAAATGAGGAAATGAAAAGGAGAGAAAATAGGACAGAAGAAGAGGCCGCTGATGATTGAAAAGAAATGCCCTGAAATAAGTGATAGTGAAGGATGTAATTAAAATGACTGTGCAAACGGCTAACTATAATGCGAGGAACTCTAGCGATGCGGAGATTGGCGGTTGGGATCGCTCAACTCTTGAAACCCTGGCATGCGGGATGCTCGTGCGGCAAGTGCCTTCAGCATCCACTGGGAGAAGAGAAGCAGTTGAAATTAAGTTTAGCGACGTTATCCCTACAACACGACAAGGAGTTTAAAGTGTACAACAGACGCTTTGGGTAGAAATGTTTGAGATAAAGTGAGATGAAAATGCGCGTGTGAGGAGCAAGTGAATGTCTTGGGAGATCAAAGGAACATACACCGCGGAGTAGAGGAGAGGCAAGAGTTGAGTGACGGAAGCCAGCTGGCGGAAGATGCCAACGTGCATCTCTTTCTCCTACACATGATTCAAGTGAAATGCCAGACTTTATATATCCACTGAGCCACCCATTTTCTTCTACTGCTGACATTTCAGAAATTGGTTTCACGCCCCATCGCGTCGGTCATGCTGCGTTACCACATTTCTGAGATGTACATTTTACATGTTAAAACCCCATCACTCGTATTACAATGTGAAAACAAGGAATTAAATAAACATTCTGGAATTGTTTGGAATGGGGGATGAGAGGTACACTGGGACAAGTGTTATATGGCCCCTTCGGGGAGTCGATAACAAATTTGGATAATATTTCAACAATTCTATGTATTTCTCTATTTTGTGATCCGCGTGGAAAATTGTGTGTATGCGAAAAATACAGGAAAAAATACAGGACTAGTCGGCTGGGAGTTTTAATCTCGATTGAATAAAAAAAAACGGTACAGTCAATTTTACGGAACCAATTCGTCAATTTTCCTACCCGTTCATTACCATTTATGGGATTTTTTTCCAGTATTTTTCTCTCCGTGTATTAATGACATGCATTAATTTCCAGCAAAATTATATACATCAGATATATTCTGAATACATGTGACCACATATATATTATATAGATTCGGCATTCATTGTAGAATAAGGCATTTCCTCTGGTGAAACAAATTTTTATATTAGTATGGGCGAATTGTTTCCATTATTTTGTGAAGGGAGTAGGCATGTTTGGTGGAAAGTTGAATGTTATTGATTGTCGATTGAATAAACATGATTTTTGAAATGTGAATTTTTAAGAGCTCTCATCGAATAAACGAAACACGAATATCAATCGAGCATGAGATACATAATGCAGAAGGTATTGTGCTGAGGAGATATACTTTGACTCCACCTACCTGAATACAATACGTCCTACCGATGCATTCCTATTGTTGCCTTTGGAAATAATACCTTGGGGAAGAGTACCATGCCACCAGCATCGAT